GCCCCCCACCCACAACCCCCACCCCCACTCTAGCTCCGCGTCCTTCAAATGCGGGGGTAGGCTTGAGGCTGGCCCGGCGCCCCCTCTCCCAGCTCTCGGGTGGGAAGGACCACACCGCCCCATGCCTGGCACCAGGCATGGGGGGGGGGTTATGTTTTATGTCCTCAGCCCCCACCCCAAGCCTCTCCTCTATCAGGACCCGCCTTCCCTCCCCAACCCCTCACCTGTTCCTGCTTCCAAGCTCCGCCGCTGCGGCCGCCGCCTCCGCAGGTTCCGCTTGGCTCTCACTCCACTCCCTCCGGCTCCCCCAGCCGATTTCGGCGCAGCTCTTCCCCTGGCCCCGCTCCCTGACTCCCTCCTTCCTTCCTTCTACCTAGCACCGGAAGCCGCGACGGCGACAAGAGCTGTGCCGCGCACCCCCACCCCCAGACTGGGATACTTCCCACCTCCCCGATCGCGCGAGAGCTGCGCGGCAGCGAGCGGCAGTTCTCGCGAGATCTATCACTATGGCAGCGGCTGCAGCAGAGGCCGCTGGGTGTTAGAGCTGAAGCCCCCGTGGGGGCCGAAATGGGGGTTGGAGGCAGCGGGCTTTGGAGGTGGGAGCTCGGGAATGAGGATGAAGCAGTGGAGGCTAAGGTGACAACACAAGCTCTAGGGCCATACCTGAAATTTAAGGACTGGGGTCGCGTGCTGGCGACACTGGAGACTGCGGTTGGGCTGAGAGGCAGCGGGGTGAGGGTGTGCTCCTTTGGCAAAGCCAGGTCCTCCAGACCACATCTTTATTTCTTAACCAGAGTTAGCAGCATCTCCCCGCGAGAGCCCTCCCTACAGCAGTGTTGCTGCTTACCACTCCTAATCTAAGACTGAGTTACTCAGGCGTCTGAATCAAGAGATCCTTTCTTATAGAGAAGGAAACAGAGAGTGATGAATTTAAAAGAGTGAAGGAAACTCAACTCTGGGCCAAGTAGAAAGTTGGAACGTGAAAGACAAACGGTTGAAGCCTAATATTCAAATGTGCTTTGAGGAAATGTACCCAGATAATTACGAATTTCAGTATCCCAAGGAAAGTGAGAGACTTTGCATCCATATTCCTGCCAACCCCCACTTCCCTCATACTCATTTCTTCACCTGGTCTAGACATGCAAAGCTGCCTTGGAACAGTCATGGCTGTGATAGGAGAGCAGTAGTAATGCCAAGAACAGATGAAGATACTTTTAAGTGCCCTCTCTCTTTCCACAGTAGTATAAGGGAACACATGGCTCTTCCCTAAGACCTGAACCAAAATTGTTGCTTTTCTGGATTTTTTACTTTGTTTCTTGTCTCTTTCTAAGAAGGACTAGGCTGGTTTACATAGCCACACTATGTATACCTCTTGTCCCAATTAATCTCTGGTATACAAATTCTCCAATCTCTTCCTCTAATCCCAGTCTGTTTTCTCTTGTATTTTAACCTGGAAAATAACATGGAATGTGAAGCCAAGAGGATCCAAATTTAAGATGGTGAGGTATGAGATGGATAAAAAGGAGCATGTTTATTAACAGAGTTGTATCTGTCCTGGGCTGATGCCATTAAGGGCCTTTGCCCTGCTAAACTCTGTGTTTTATTTAAATGGCAGAAGAGAAGACTCCTCCAGTGTTATTACAGATGCCTAGAGTGGGCCTTATGATACCTCCACATGATTACACTTTCCATTTCTTTTCCCAGAATTTTCTAGCAACATCCCACCAGGTTATGCACCCACACTGATCATGAAAATTATACTTTACAACCCCCTTCCCAAGTACCCACCACACCAACATGCCTTGTGGGACTCTGATAGGAGGCAGAACCTGTAAGTGTTCCCGCCCAAGATGTCATTCAGATCCTCTAGCGATTAGGTCTTAGGTGTGCCCAAAGGATGCAAATGGTGTCAGCCAATATGATTAGCAGCAAGTACTGTGGTATTTGAGTCAGAAGTGACGAATGGGACTGCAGAATCCCAGTCCCCTGTCCTTCAGCCCTCTGGAGTCTTGAGAGGAAAGTGTCTTGCAGCATCACTGGGTGATTACCATGGAGCAAACTAGCAAAGACAGGAGCGGGTGCTGTCCAGCTGGCAATCAGCCAGTTATGACACTCCCCAGCTTCCCAACTACTTGAAAGGCTAAGAGAGAAGGGCTCATCCAGAGCTGAAGGAGGCAAAGAGGCCTGACTTACAGTTCATCGGTCTTTCTCCCTCCATCTGGCTTCCATTGGAGCTAAGTAAAAGCTGAAATTGTAGCCACCCCACTCTTTGGGTTGCACATTCCCACTCCTGCCACTGACCCCAGGCCTGGGCCTGAGCCCAGCGCGTGTGCCGGCAGCAGGGGTGGGGAGGGGGGTGTTGGCCTTGCTGACAAAATCCATTTGGAATTTCTCAAGGTTGTGGTTTGGGGCTTAAGTTTGCCACAGAGTGTGTCTGACGAAAGATGAGAGCTAGAAAGAGAGAAGGAGCCAAAGGGAGTACAGAGGAAGGAAACAGGAAAAAGCTGAAATGTTCTTGCTTTGACTCCCTTGGAGAGTCTCCTTGCTCTTCCTGAGTGTGCAAAATTCCCGTTCTGGTTATTTCTTATCAGTATTCTCTCATATCCTATGTCCATTCTAGTTGCATCCCTCTCTCCCATACCAGGCTCAGTCAGTGCCTGAAGTAAAGATAAGATGCCTCCCACCTCCATCAAATTTCCAAAACCAGAATTCTCAAAGCTCAAGTGGAAATTTGGAACATGAAATTTTGCCGTAAAGTACTGCCTTAACCCAACACTCCTCAAAATGTCCTTACTACCCTGGTGCTCCCATCATTTCACCTGATTTTTAGAGTAATTTGAGTATCAGATGTATCTATTGCTTAGAGGAGTAGAGAGAACTATGGAGTTCTACATTCCCTGACCAAGCAGATGACCTGTTAGAGTCAGTTTCTTACAACCCCACTTGTAAAGTGCTAATTGTGTTGTGCATATCCCTTTTCTAGCTGAAAGGTAATGATTTGTTTTCAAATACATTGGGCTAGGAAAAGAAAGATTGGAATAAAAGAAACTGTTTTCTCTAGTTATAGTTATCTCCTAAAAGAAATAAAGGAATTATTTCACTAAGATTAAATGCAAAAGAGCTCTAAATAAGGAAGGACAAAATCCATATGCAAATAACTCAGTGGGAGAATGTACTGGTTTTGCTGGTTTCCAGAGAAAAACAAACAAACAAACAAAAATCAACTCCCCCTTTGAGCTTAAGAATCCTTTTTATATGTTTCTCATTAGACTTGTATCTACCAGATACAGCCAGAGAGAAAAGTGCTCATTCTTTGGGTCCAGATTCAATGTTGAGATAACTTCAGGACTTGAAAACCCAGAACAGAGATGACCTCATGGTGTAGGGCAGGGGTCAACAAACTATAGCCAGAGGACCAAATCTGGTTCTGCAGTTCATTTTTGTAAATTAAATTTTATTGGAAATCCAGTTCTTTATGTATGATTTGTGGTTACTTTTGATCTACAACAGCAGAGTTGAGAAATTATTGCAGGGTTAAGTAGTTGTGACAAAGCCCACAAGCCTAATATATTTACTATCAAGACCTTTACAGGGAAAAAGAAAAAAGGCCAATCCTTGTTCTAGGGCAGTGACCAAGGCAAAATCTGGAATTGAGGCACATAGAGAATAAATACAGCCTATGTTTGGATCTCTAGCCCTGGTTTTTCACACTAAAAGTTGCCAACTAAATCACTGAGGACCACTTCAGATCCTTTGTGGAACCAGGCACGATATACATAAATAAAGTCATTGACTGTAAGAGGGTAGTAGAATTCATCTGGAAAAGAAGCCATAGACTGAAATCCCAAGTGTGGGCAGAAATATCACCACCTGCATCCACCAGTCCAGTAATTTAATTTATTTTAGTTACAAACATGAACCAAGAACAAGTCTCAGTACAATAAATTATCCATTCCCACCCCTCCTCCTGAAGGAATAAAAAGAGGCTCAGAGAGTCATAGGTAAAACTCTTCCTTTGGAGGATCCCCTTTAATATCTGAATGGAGGGAAGACGGCTTCTCTAAGGGCCTGAACAGATGACTCTTGGACTCAGGGGAGAGCACCCATAGCACTCTGTCCCTGCTCTAAGAAAAACCTTTCTACCACTGTCTTCCATTACCCCCACAAGATGGGGCACGGGCTAGGTAGAGGAGTTTGGGAACAGCAAATGCAATGAGTGGTCTCTTTCTGAATACAGGTCTCATGGCTCCACACAGTGCCTGGGGCTAGCCCTCAGAAGAGTGGTCAAACTATAGGGACTCTCCAGCCACAAGAAATATGGATCAGAGTTAAGGGGGCCCCAGGGTTGGGGAGAAGGGGGAAATACAGTGCATTTCATCTTAGTTCATTCAGGTATTTAAGTAGCAGAAGAGTGGTGACATCTTCCCTCCAAGGCCTTCCAACTGTAGGGGAGAAGGCCACACATCACAGACTCTACCTGACCCCCACCACCCCCAAAGCTGTTTCCAGGTAGATACTTTGAGTTTCCAGGGGCCAAAATTGACCTTGGACAGAAATCAGAGCAAAAGGCTGAAAAAGTTCCCCTCCCTTTCCCCAGCCTGCATTGAGGCTGACCCTCACTTACACACATTGACCCACTCTGTGACTTTGCACTCATCACACAGCACATAGCAGCACCAGTGGAAGCGACAATGACAGCGTTCAACTCGTGTCTGCCGGAGCACATTGTGCCCACGGCCACAACACAGGCTGCCACAGCCATCCAGCAGGCGGCTAGTCTTGTTGCAGGCCCGGCCCCGCGTGCCTGGGGAGCCCACGGTGGGGTCTCGCTCACAGAAGTCAGGAGACTTCTCAAAGTAAACCAGCTCTCCTGAGAGGCGACGAGGACGAAGGCGGGGCTGAAAGGCTCCAGAGTTGCGGTTGTGGGTATCAATGAAGATGGCCCGGCCCAGGCGTTCCCTCAGTGCTGCCCCCACTGCCCGGAACTCTGGGGTAGCCCTCCAGCAGGTCTTGAACTGGCAGCTTCCTGATGTGCCATGGCACTTACATTTCCGCTTCAGGTTTTCAGTTACCACCTAGAGCATACGAGGGAGAAGTGGTAAAGGAAAGAGCAGCAAATGGGTAGAACACAGAGGCTCAGGAGAGGGGAGGGAACAGAGAGCACAGGGAGGCGAGGACAACTGAATGACCATGGAATATCTGAAGAGAAAGGGCACTGCGAGGCTGGCTGACAACCCAAGTCCCTCATTTTATGATTGGATAATTGAAGCTAGAGCAGAGGGATTTGCGCATTTTCAATCACTAGCTCGTGAAAGTTGCAATTGATAATTAACTTCTAACAGGACTCAACACCAATTGAGTCCCAGTCCCAATGCTTGTTCCAGAGTGTGCACTGCTAAAATGGGGAGTCTAGCCCAAACCACCCCTAAATTCCGTAGGAAAGGCAGCTATAATAATAACTACTACGTAATGAGCCACTGCCATCGACAGAGGCACTCTGTTTGGGGCTCTATTTTCTAGCTCATTTTTAATGACATTGTAAGGTAGGTTTCCTTAGACCCTTTTACAGATGCAAAACTGAGGTTAAGTGACTTGCTAGAGACCACTCATATGATGACAATCACCCACCACATCTCTTCTCACTCTGCTCTTTTCTTAAACTCTAGCCAGGCCTGGAAAGCTTGGGAGACTCAGGACAAGTTGCACACACGTACCTGGCGCCCCACCCTGTTGTTGTGGATTCGCATTCGTGCCTGGATGTCCCGGGGAGCTTCCCTGGAATCCAAGAAATCCCGAGAGAACTTCTCTCCAAAGTCCATGTCATGGTTACAGCCTCCCCATTCCCATGTGTCCTGGGGACTAGGACTGGGGCCTGAGCCAGGACCCGGGCTGGGCAGGGAGTGGGGGAAACTCTTGCCCCGGGACAGGGCCTGCAGCTGCAGCAATTTGGCCCTCAGCCGATCCTGCTCACCACTGCCCTTCCAGCCACAGCCGCAGCTCACCAGCTTGCCCAGGCTGCAGGCTGTGGCTACCGCATGCATGATCCCAGCAGCCAGCATGGAGAAGGAAAAAGCGCTCTCACGGAAACCTGGGGATGAAAAGAGTGCGATGGTGGGGGTAAGGTTGACAGGCAGCTGAAAGTAGGGAGGCAGAAGGAAATAAACAGTCACTCTCCAATTCCAGAAATTCCTAACTGCATCCTGACCTTGTCATTACTAGCTGAGTAATTTGAGAGAAAGTCACAGGAGAAGGAAAAAAAAGTACAGAGCCTCAGTTTTCTCATCTGCAAAGTGAAAAGATGGGTTGAGACCATATCTGAGGCCTATTCTGGCTCTGGAAGTCTGGGATTTGCAGGTGTGGTTGAAAGAGCTGGCCTAGAGGGAAAGACTGGGTTTGGGAGATAACTAAGAGGGAGTCCCTGTGGTCTTTGAAGATGTGTTCACTGAGTTCTACATCTGAAAGCCTTAGAAATTCCCCAGCCCTGCAGGGAGCTTGGTGGGGTGGAAACAGGGCCCTTGGGGTTCTTTTTCTCTTTCTTTCTTTCTTTCTTTCTTTCTTTCTTTCTTTCTTTCTTTCTTTCTTTCTTTCTTTCTTTCTTTCTTTCTTTCTTTCTTTTTCTTCTTCTTCTTCTTCTTCTTCTTCTTCTTCTTCTTCTTCTTCTTCTTCTTCTTCTTCTTCTTCTTCTTCTTCTTCTTCTTCTTCTTCTTCTTCTTCTTCTTCTTCTTCTTCTTCTTCTTCTTCTTCTTCCTCTTTCTCTTCCTCTTCCTCTTCTTCTTCCTCCTCCTCCTTCTCCTCTTTCTTCTACTTCTTCCTCTTCTTATTCCTTTTCCTCTTCTTCTTCTCCTTCAGGATTATTTTAATCAGTCTTTTAACCAACCTACCCTACACCACCCCAAAATTCCCAGAGCACTGGAGCTGTCCTTCCCCTTTCCAGTTTCTAGTTTTTTATTTGTCCTTAAGACTGCCCTTTATGTTTATCCTAACCTGCTATTATTCTATAAAACACTGAGAGAGGTGGGGGTGATTTTCCCTAAGGCCCTCTCATAATGTTGGCTCTTTTGTTTTGTATTAGGGGTCATAGAGGCTCAGGATGACAAGTGTTTCCCAGGCTTAGGTAGATGTGCGTCTCATCTGGGCATCAAAGCCTTCCCCTACATTACAAGAAAGATGGGGTTCCTCACTTATTTTTAGGCAGGGGCTCTCTGGAACCCTAAGATGATGAGAGACAACACTTCCTTAGGGGCCAGGCCTTTCCCACCTCAGGATACAGGGCTCCTGGCCCAGCCTCCTGATCCCCCCCAACCCCAACCCTCCAGGAGTGAAGCTGTTTGCACACGTCTTGGGAATTCCCCCGCAGATGGCAGCTGCCTATTAACCCCATAGTCCCCAGAGTACTGCCCCCACCCTTGAGCTCAGCCCAGGATGGATCTTTACTCTTCCAAAGAGTAAACTCAAGTATGGCCTGGCAAGAGGCAGCTATGCCTCCCGGACCATACCTCCTAGACCAGGCCAGCAGTGACCTGCTCTCTATCTCTCCAGCCGTTCCTCACCTGCTCAGATGAGAGCCACCTGGAGCCCCCACAGCACAGAGGAGGGGGCTGCTCCCTTGCTTCAAAGCCATCAGGGTCTTTGTTCCCAGCCTTAGCTCCTGGGAACCCCAGCAATTAGGGGAGTAGGTTTAACCCTTAAACGGTTGGGGGCGGCACCCCACCTCCGCTGAAGCTCTGGGGACACCAGCCTGGGCTTGTCCCTAGGAGAGGGAGGGGGTGAACATGAGGGAGGGAATGGGGGGGCGTTTGAAGCTTCCAGGGCTGGGGGCATCTCTTGCTCACAGGTGCAACCCAGATCGAGCTGTGTGGAGGCAGGAAAGGGGGGCCTCAGGGCAGGGGAGCAGGGACCCAGCTGCCTTGCCGGCAGCGAGCAGGTGGAAATCAGAAGCTCAGGGTCCCAGACGGGTGGCCAGACCCAGTTCCATGCGGCTCCCGGGGGGAATGCCCACAGAGGCCCCTCCCTGAGTCGTGAACCCATCTCTTCCCGCCTCGTTCGTCTCGGCTTGCCCCCAGTCCCCTGCCTCCGCGGAGCAAACCCGCCTCGCCAGGCTCACCGCGCTTGAGGATGGCGCTGTGGTGCGGCAGGCGACCGCCGCCCTCGAGCGCAGAGCAGTTCCAGCGCTGGTCGCGCAGCTGGTGCTGACACTCGTGGACCGCAATGTGCAGGCCCTGAAGTGCGGACGCCGTCACGTCGGGGCTGCGCAGGCACAGGCCTAGCTGCCGCTTGCTGAGGCCCGACAGCGTCAAGCACACTGTGTTGGCAGTCAGCGGCGGCTCGCCGGGCAACTTCAGGCCCAGAATCTCATTGCTTAGAGCCCTGGAAACGCAGAAGGTGTCTCAGGGTCTGTGGTCCAGGCCTCGCGCCCCCTCAGACTCCTCTCGCTCCAGGGCGTGCTTCTAGCCCAGGTTTTCTCTGGGG